TTCCTGTGTGTCCAAGTTTTGATCTTGATTCAGTAAATTGCTATGGTGTCCCAAGCTTTCAGGAGTCTGACCCTCTCATCCCTAGAAGACTTTTCTGTCCATCCATCCATGGTGATTTGTTTTTCTTACAGAGGCTGTTTACAAGGGAGCTGGTTGAGGTCGGGAGGGGAGAGAACAAGGATTCACCCACTTTAAAGCTGCTGCACGTTTTCACACTGGTGTGTAAGGCAGGAGAAGGGCTGGTGTGGTGGAGTAGCCAAGAAAGCCAGAGTAATTCTGGCTTTGGCCACCACCAGAGTGTTTTTCCATGTGGGAAAACCCTAGTGCACACAGCTGGGAAGCAGGAACCAGGGCTGGTGGGAAGGAGATCTCAATGTGCTGCCTTCCAGGGATTATAGAGGTTCAGAGGTTTGCCCAGTACATGTTATACCCCAGGATCAGGCTGGCTCCTCTGTCCTGCCCCAGATCCTCTAAAGCAGCAGGAGAGTGGAGCTGTGGATGTCTGGGGAGATAAAAGAGCCCTGGGGTGGCCTCATGTACTGGGCATGAACCCACTCCCTGTGCTGGGATGGGAGCAAGAGTCCTGCCTGTGCCCTCACCAGGGGATGCTGAGCTGGATTTATCTTGACTGTTAATCAGAAAGCTTCATATAACGTGTCCAGAGCTCTAAAGCCATTTTGTAAGATAGCAGTGTCCCTTTTCTACAGCCTTATTAAAGAGTAGAAGATCTTTAAAAGGAGAAAACAAACAAAAAATTGCTAATTTCTTTCTGTGGTATGAAACTTGTGTACTATGAACTTCTGAACATTTAGCAAAAATACAACTTACAGTTTTCTTAAAAAAAAACAAAAAAAAAAAACCAACAAAAAAATCCCCAGCCTGTCTGCTTTCCATACGGTCTTTCCTCAGGTGCTAAATAAGGGTTCCAAAAACGGATACTGCTTTAGGAGTTTCTGCTTTATTCTTAAAATACATATTTTTTTGCTTAGGTGTTGTAAAGATATTTTAACAAGAATGTTTTTTTTTTTAATGTAAATAAGATTGTGTCTTTAATTTTTATCTCCTTTTTGTCCATATTGAGTAGTCTAATTTTCATTTTTGAGAAGGACCCTCTTATGCCCTTCCCCGAAGACATTTCATTGAGTGTTGCTGCATTTAAGAACGACTCTACAACTGTTCATTGTCTTGGATTAATGCTGATGCTGCTGCTATAAGTAACCCTGAAAATCAAGAATGTGTGATGCACTTTTGTTTTTCGTTTTTGTTGTTTTGTTTTGTTTTAATATGACCATGTAGTTCCTCTGCAGATAGCTGAACCCTCCTGTAACACAGCCACTAACTGGGGGAGCGTAGGAACTGGGGGAGAGCTGGTTTGTAGGACAGGGGTGGACCTGATTTTGGTGCTGACCTATGGGAATTTCTATGCAAACGCAAGCAAAGGAGAACTCTTTAACTTGAGAGAACACTGTGCTTTTTTAATTTTTATTATTTCTTTTTTTTTTTTTTCTCTCCTTCCTTTTCTCAAGCTGCTATTGGAAGGGTAGTGCAAATCCCTGAGGTTTTCAGCTTCTCCTTCCTCCATGGCTGGTGGTGCAGGAAAGGTGCCTGAGTAACTTGTAAGGTAGAAAAACCTCAGTCAGCTCTTGTCTCATCTCTGGTTTCGATATATTTGTTTTCTATTTGAATTTATCTATAGAAGGAAATTGCTCATCTCTAAAAAAAGATCTTTTGAATGCTTTATCTCAATGTGAAGTTAACCAGCAGTATTAAGGATTGCATGGCCTCTTGTCCTGCCCTTATCCCAGTGCTGGGGACCCACCAGCTCCTTCTCCAGCTGGGGAGCACTCAGTGCCTGGGCTCAGATGTTTTCCAAGAAAAAAGTCAGGTGAAGCCATCCACCCAGCCAAAACCTGCCAGTAAAAGGCTTAGGGAGCAGTGGAGTGATGTCTCACTGCATCAAGGCACTGCCGTGAGGCACAGGCAGGTCCAGAACCTCTTCTCTTTATGGGCCACACCTGGACCATGGAGGGGGATGTGTACCTTGGAGGAGGAGTTTACTGGAGGGGAAAAAGGGATTTTACTTGACTATTTATAGAAGATCCTTTAGGAATATAAAGTACCTCTCTGCAAAGTGGAGGAAGAGTAAGGAAGGTCTAAAGTCGTGTAGGAAAAACACTTGGGGATTACAACTGCCTGGAAAATAGTCTACAAATACATAGGCCAGAGCTTTCTGCCTGTTTAGTTAGTTTTTCCAGCATCAGTTTATTTCTTTTTCAGACAGCGTTTGCTCTTTTGCACACCGAGGTATGTGTGTGTACATCTGACTCAATGTGCCTTGCATGTGTGCTTAGTCTTTCTGGAGAGAGGTGGTGGGGTGTGGGCTGGGGACGTGGCTGCAAGGGCCACTTCCCATCCACAGGCAAGGGTTCCTTAGTGTCCCAGTGACCCTTGGGATCAAAATGAGACCTGGACTCCGGCCTGTGTAGTGGCTGTCTTACTTTGGGGATGATGTCCTGTGCAGCAGCACCTGTGACTTCGGAGGGAGAGAAAGAAAAGCTGCTTCGCTCTTCTGTGGACAAAAAATCAGCATTGCCACGGTTTGCCTGCAGAGCCAAAACAAGCTGAGGTCTGGAACCAGCTTTGCTGGAGTTCAGTCTCTCTGTGGCACCATGATCCCATTATCCAGGGGATTTATTCCCTGCTAGGTTGTGGTTCTTGTTTCTGTGGGGTTTACAAGATTTTTTTTGTAAAGGAGAAGTCAAGACGCCTTGCTGAAGTTAATGAAATCCAAACGCTTGTGTTTGCAGTCAGTGACTCAGAACTCCAAGCTGTGCAATTCTGGGTTCTCCATCTCCCGCCCCGGCGTGTGATGATTCTGTCCGAGTCTTTCTGTACTTCTGCCACAGTAAATGTGAAAGCTTGCTTGCATTATTTTTTAGAAATGCATTTTGCACACTCGGGTTTCGCTGAAGCTCCGTGAAAAGGTTAGTTTGAAGCAGATGAATAAAGCTATGCACATGTTTTGAAAGTTTAATTTGTGTCTCATTACCAGAAGTGACTTATCTGCCCTCTTTTGCATTCCTGTGCTGTCATTGCCTCCATTCTCTTCACCATCTCAGAGGGTATGATGTAAGGTGACAGTTCTTTGCTGACAGCTGTAGCAGAAAACTGGCGCTTCTTGAGTTTTTCAGTAGCCTTTCTCTCTCCTTTGCTTTCTCTCTGTATAGCTATATAAATATATATATTATTTTTTTATTTTAAAGAGCCTACTTTAGTAATTGAATCGGAGGGAGCGGGGTGTGCTGGCTTGTGTTTCAGATACACTTTGTGCTGTCGGATGAACCAGTGCCCTTTTTGTCTCCAGGGAGAGCGTGGTGGTGGCACCCACTGGTGTCCCCATGGGGACAGGGAAGCCCCCACGCAAAGCAGCTTTGGGGAGGGGATGGAGACCAGTCCACTGCGCTGCGGGCCGGTGGCGTGGGCAAACTCGAGGCTTCTAATGACAAAATGAACCAAGAGGAATCCTACTGCTGTGTGTTCCCACTGTGAGGCAGGAGGGACAGGGTTCTTCACTATCCCGCTGCGAGGCTGGAGCGGGGACTGGGTTCCCTCCAGCCTCAGGGGTGAGAGCTTTATTTTGGTTTTGTTTTCATGCGTTAGGTGCATTGGGTTGCAGGTACCACCTTTGGAAACATGTTGCTTAGCCCAGAGCCTGTGTGCGGGAGATTTGGGGTTTTGTGGCGGGAGAAGGACCCTGACAGCTTTCTCCTCCTGTTCCCTTCGCCATGGCAGAAATTTGTACTAACTTGACAGCTTTTTTTCATACAGAACAGGGCTGCTTTTCTATCTACCATCACACGTGTACTTACACACCTTCAGCAGCTTCCCAGCCGCTGAAGGTCCTCAACTTGTTTACTGGGGGGACTGATGCCCCTCTCTCCCCCTTCCCTGAATATTTCAGTGTTAAGGGCGGTGCAAAACAACCGCGAGCTGGGGCTGGAGAGATCCCTGCAGGCAGAGCCGGGCAGGGTCTGTCTCCTCTCCTGCCCCCCTTCCCCGTCGATAAGTTCTCATTTTCTTCCTGGTTTGTACTCAAATCGCTGCGAGGGGTTGTGCTCTACCTGCTCAGGAGCTGAATTACCTCTGACCTGCGGAGAGGGGCAGCCCCTCTTTGGTGTCCATGTTGTAGTGTGCGACCACACAGATCAGTCAAGGTAGTCTTTGTTTCCTTCTCCCCTCCCCGGTAATTTCTGATTAGGTTAATGCACTCTGTGTGCCCAGCTGGAAAAGCGTAGGCGTTTTCCCAGTGGTGAGAGGGTGGCTAGAGGAGTTTAGTGTAAAACCTGCTGTAGCTGTGGCTGGCGCAGCCCCTTGCGCTGGTGTGGGTGATGTCACGGACTGTAAGGATAGGTAATGTCCATGAGCTGTAATGGCATGATGTATCTTTACCAATGATGTCATACTTCACACTAAATGTTTAAAAAAAAGAAAAAAGAAAAAAAAAAAAGAGAAAAAAAAACCTTACCTGAAATTTTGTTTATTCTGCACCAACAGGTCTTCAAAATTTATCCAAATTTTATTATTTTATCAGGAAAAAAAAGAAATTTGTGTAGATCGAATACATTAAGACAGACAATAAGTGATGTAAATTGTTGAATAAAAATTTTAAAGTTTGCAGGTGTCAGTGTGACTTTCTTTTTTGCGTTTTCAAGGAGCAGCCTGGGTTTAGAACCCAGAGGCCTGGCAGTGCTGGCCATAGAGCCCGTGAGCTGTGTGTATGCAGGGGGGGTGGATCCAGGTGTCCTTTACTTTGCCTGGGGAAGGAGAGGGCAGGGAGGGAAAAAACCCAAGGGTTTTGTGCAACAGTGGGGATCTGAACCTTCCTCAGTGTGACCCCACCTCGCTTCAGCCCAGCTTAAAATAAGTAGGGAAGAGTCTGGTCCCAGTTCCCGGGGTGGGGATGTGCAACCTCAGTCCCAAGCACACACCAAGCTGATTTATCTTTTTCTTTCAGTCACATTTATTGGCAGTTGTGGCGGTCGGTACCGTTTTGGGAGTGTTGTTCCATAAGCAGTGGCAGTACGAGAGGGGGTGGTTATTTTGGGAGGGGAGTATTAGCACCAAGAGGGAGCCGGTGAGCTTTTGAAACCTTGCAGAGATGTACTGGGAAGTGGGGGAGCTACTGCTGGACACGCCTGATGGATTGGATCTGGGAGGTCTGGGCGTGCGAACCCCACTCTCTCCAGTGCTTGTAGTCTCCACCGTGGTGGTCAAACTCCAGGACGTACTGGTAGCCACGGTACCCGGGATACTGGTAGCACACCCAGCTGGAAGAAAAGAACAAAGAGGTAAGCAGGGGGGTTACAGGGCATCCCCCTCCCACCGTGGTGGCACAGTGATGGCAGCAGATTGTCCCTGCTGCTCCTGTCCTCGTCCTGCTCCGTCACTCACGCGCCACACTGGATCTTCATGGAGCCCACTTCGTTGTTGGCCCAGCCCATGGCCTGCAGCGAGGGGTAGTCGTCAGCAATCTCCCACTGGCGGCCGATGAAGTTGTCTTTCTCAAAAATGGTGATCTTGGATTCCTTGTGATTCTGTGGGGGAGAGCAGGGGGTGAGGGGGAGGTGGTGCTCCCTCCCCAGCGGGGGTGGGAATGGCAGGGCTGTCACTCCCCATGGCATTACTCAGAGGGTTCCTGGAGAGGAAGATGTTCAGACACTGGTTGGTTTGAGTTTTCTGGGTGGCTGGGAGGTGTCAGCTATCATACAGCGCCTGTCTCAGGCTGCCTGTCCCCTACTCTAGTCATGTACAGCTTGCCCAGAAATTCCCTCCAAAGCTTTAAAAAACAGGACAGAAAGAGCAAATCCTGCTGGGCTTGCAGGGGAAGCGCTGAGCCTGCCCCTGGGGTAGTTTTCCTTTCCTAACCTCCCTGCTGTGGCATTTGGAGGGGATCAGAGCTCTGTGGGACACTCACAGCGGAGCAGACGGGGCGGAAGGACATCAGCCTCTCGATGTGGTAGGCATTGCTGCCGCTCCAGGCGTCCCAGCGCGGGTACTCTCCCCTCTCCAGGATGAACTGCTGCCCGCAGAATCCGGTGTGCTCGTAACCCACCCAGCTGCAAAAACAGAGCGAGGGCTGCCAGGGCTTTCTGCAGCAGCTCGGGGCATCCTGCTGGGAGCTGGCTTGAGGGCAGGATGTAGGTGCAAGGAGGAGGTTGAGGTCTGGCCTCTGCCCGCAGGTTGGGAGGAGAGGAAGCTGTGTTGGATGTGGGCAGAGAACCCAGGGAGTGTGAAAGTGCATCTGGTGCTGCAGAGGCACCCACACGGCATCCCTGGCTGCAGTGGGAGATCCGGGGGCCCGTCCTGCACAGGTGGCTCTTCCCCCTGGCTGCTCTGTCATCATTTATGCAGACCAGCATCGCTTCAGGATGCCCCAGCTGCCCTTCTCTCCCAAAGGCCTCATTTCTTACTTGTTTCCCAATTACAACCTGACACTGCTGGACCTGAATTCCTGATGCCCAAAGCAGGCAGAACCCATCTGGCTCTGAGCAGAGAGCAGGGGCCTATTGCCTTTCCCTTTTCTGCCTCCCCCTCTTGCTGAAAACAAACGAGGAGAGGTGAGTGGGATGCCTGCACCCTGCAGGACACATTTTGCAAGCCCTGGTGCTGCCCACACAGCCCCTGCCTGCCCCCAGGGTGGGGATGTCCCCTTAAGGAGACCGGGGACAGAGCCACAGGCAGAGCAGGGAGACCGAGCCTGGGCTGGGGGTTGGAAGGTGGGTGGCACGGGCTGTACAGTGCATGGATCCCCTACTGATGGGTACAAAGGATGCTGAGGGGGTCAGGGGTTTCCTGCCACTGACCCAAACCGAGCCCCAGTGCCATGTCCTGCAGCCAGCCCGCCCTGTGCAAGGTGAACAGCCTGATTAGGAGCACGTCAGCTGGAGCAGGGAGCTGATTACAGCACGCTGCTGTAATCCCATTAGCATTACACGTCCTAAAGATAGCAGCACAAATCTGTCTGTCTGCTCCCCGCCCCGGTGGGATGCGCTCCTCCTCTCCGAGCTGCTGGGGAGGTGCCCTGCCTGTGCCAGGGAAGATTCCCACCAGCAGGGAGAAGCCCAGCTCTGCTCCCTACCCCCTCAGGACTGGAGAAGCTGCAGAAAGGTTCTGCCCTGGTCTAGGAAGCTGTGCAGCGGCAGGGAAAGCCCAGGACAGAGCAGGGCTGGGGCTTGGCCAAGAGCTGCTTCAGGAGGGGGACCAGGCTGAGCCAGGCCACTCACTGAGCACCGACCCTCTCTGCATCTTTGGGCAGCAACCCTGTTCCAAACCTGACCGGTTCAACACTGCAGGAGGCAGTTTTTAGGTGATGCCAAAGGTGTTGCCGCTGTCCTCTGGCCCTCTCTCTGTATCAGCGCTGCCTGGGGCGGGCTGCTCTACCCTGGCAGGGTGGGATCGCCCCCACGCCTGCCTTCCCTTGGCTGTGACGCTTGGCTCCAGCCAAGCAGAGCAGGGACAGCTGGTCCCACTCTACGCTTGGGCACCCCTGTCCCAGCCAGCATCCCCTCCTCTGGCAGCCGGGTACTCACGCGCCACATTCCACCTTCAGGGAGCGGATGTTGTCGAAGCCACATTCCATGATGTTTGGGCAGGCCGAAGTGAACTCCATCCTCTTGCCCTGGAAGTTTTCTTGGTCGTACACGGTGATCTGGAACGGAGAGCGAGCTGCCGAGTTGGAAACTGCCCGGCAGCGGCCCCAGGCAGTTCAGCGCCTCTTGGAGACGGAGGGAGGCTCGGTGAGGGAGAGAGGCTGCAGCGGGCACCCTGTGGGCAGGGACACAGCCCCGCACGCGTCCCTGCACTGCTGGCCCCGCCACGCCTGCCTTGGTGTCGGGGGGCCGCAGGCTGGCCCCCGCTCCGCTCTCCTGCTCACCCCTGCGGAGATCAGTTCCCGGGGCAGCGGTGCGGTCCGGAGAGAGGAGCGGAGCCGTTCTGGGACGGGCGGGTGGCAGGGCTGTGGCTGGCGGTTCTCCCGGCCTCTGCTCCGAACGCTCTAGGGCAAAGAGGATTAACGGGGGGGAAAGGGCGAGGGGCACCTCCCTGGGGGGCTGCGGGTGATGCTTTCCTCTCCCGCCACAGCTCCGGGCTTCGACGGGATGCTCCTCACTTGTGCACGTGTTTCTCCTCTCCCTCTCATCTCCCTCCTTGCCCAGTAGCCCTGGGGCTATTGCCAGACCCCTTGGGGCTGCTCCCTGCCTTGCCCCACCGTGCCCACTGTCCATGCTCACCCTGTCTGCACGGACAGGGGAGGGCAAACAGCAGCCGGTGGCTTTTGGGGTTCTGCAACTGCCTGTCATGGGATGGCTGGTAAGAGCAGGACACAGCTGGCCCGGGCTGCTGTGGAGAGCCTTATGAAAAACACCCAGGAGGTATTTGAGCAGGCAGGAGGCACATTCACATGGGCAGAGGACAGGGGTGCCTGTTTCCTGTGCTCGTCCCTGTGTTACTGCCTGCTGTGCAGCTTTCCTGGCCCTGGAGGATGGGCTTTGCCCTTCTCTCTGTTCCCTACCTGCACACAGGGAAAGGTGAAATCCAGGGAATGTGAGGACGTACCTTCCACGGGCCCATGGGAACAGGCAGAGGGTTTGTCTGAGCCATCTTTGCTGCTGGATCGGTGTCTGGAGAAGGAAGGAAAAGCCGTTTTACTGCAGCATGTCCCTGTGCATCCCTGCTGCCCACTCGCGAGGCTGGGGGCACTCTGTGCCACCCACCCAGAGCGCCTGTTCGAGGACAGCTGCCCCACTGCTGGGCACCAGCCACACCAGTCACAGCAAGACCCTCTTGCCAGCCCCAGGATGGGGAACGGGACACGGTAGAGGCCTGTGGGACACATCCAAAGCAAGGTGCCCCCTTCTCACTGCTGCAGTGCCCCTTCCCTCCTCCCTGCCATGGCACCCACCAGGCCATAGAGCCCAATCCCCCTTTCTCCTTCCCTGAGGTCAGACCACCTGAGCCAGAGCAGGGGGCTTCGGTGGGCACGGACTGCCCTGTGCCTGGCAGTGTCCAACAGACCCACCCGATCCCCTCTCCGTGCCCGGTGTCCCCTGGGAGCACGGTGGGCTCCCATGGACAGCCCTGGCTAATTGTGGGAGATGCCAACCAGCGTGCCATCCCAGTGGGTGTCAGGAGTGGGGTGCCCTGCTGCAGAGGGGCTCCCAGCCCCCCCAGCTGCCAGCGGGGACATGTGAGCCTGTCTTATGCCACAGAAAACAGCGACAGTCCCTCTGGGTGTCCCTCCTGCCACCAGAGGGGTGAGGTGGGAGAGGTGCTCATCGGTCCAGGACTCACCTAGCTCAGGCGGGTACTGCTGCTTCGCCCATGTAATGTTTGCCTACTTCAGCGGCTCAGCTTTTATAGGGTACTGCTGGCCGGGAAGCGGTGCCAGCATTTGCAGAGCTGTCAGCACAATGCTTGCTCTGGCATTGTCCTGCTGATCCCCGGAGATTTCAGCTGCTCATCCCCATGGTCTGAACCACATTCTTAGGGAAAAAGAAAAAAAAATTTGATAATTAAAAAAAAAAAAATAATCGAGGCGGCTGTTTGCACAGATAATCTTGGGCACAAATGATTCAACGATTTGACCGCGCTGGCATTTTCCACGGGCAATGCACCGCGCCGTCACGGGGTGAGCCTGGGGGCTGGCCTGGCCCTGGCGCCGGTTGGCACCGTGGGGACGGCGGGGACACCTCCCTGTGAGACCCTGAGGGTGGTGGGCACAGCAGGGTGTGTACCAGGCACTTCACTTCACCAGCCAAAGCGTGTTCCCTGTCACCGTGCTGCCGTGGACACTCTCCTCCATCACGGGCAAGGAAGGCTGGAGGTGAGAACTGGCATGTCCCCACGGCCACGCCGAGTCACAGTGCTCCATGCAGCGCTGCCACCACCACAACCCCACACACGGACACGTGTGGACATGCCACAGCCTTGGGGAGGCCTCGGCCTTGCTGTCACCCCACAGCCACCAGGCCCTTGTCCCGTGGGGCTCCCATGGGGTGGGTGCTGCAGCTCTGGGGCACCACGGCGGGCACAGCCGGGGCTGTGGGGGTCACGAGTCGAGGGTGGCGGCGCAGGCTGCTGCCTCAGCTCATGGCTGCCAGCACAATGCTCGCCCATGTCTGACTGCCCCTTTTGTCTGGCCGCTGGGCAGGCACGGCCGCACAAAACAAAGCGCCCCGTCAGCGCCGCGGCCTGGCGCCCGGCCCGGGGGACCCTGCGGGGACACACGGAGAGGTGGCACCCATCCAGACAGGCCTGGTGGGGCTCATCAGGCTCCTGGGGGACCCCTGCTGCGGGTAGGATGCTGTTCTGATGGGGAAGGTGGGGTGTGCGGGGGTCATTCCCCTCGCTGGAATGGGGATAGGTGGGATCGGTGTCACCGATGGGATGGCTGTGACATGGAGCCGTGCGGCTGCACCACTGACTGTACCACAACATCCCAGCAAATTTGGGTCAGGGAAGGGGAAGGGCAGAAGCTCCTGTGCTCTCTGCAAGGATGCCAAAGTGGGGGTTGGTGGTGGGATGCTCCTGCGAAGCCCACCCAGCACAGTCCCTGTGCACCTGCCGGGGGCATCCTGGCCGAGGGGAGAGGTCAGCCTGCAGCTCGCCCTCCAGCTTGCTCCAGCCCCTCAGACATGCCCTGGTCAGGGCTGCGGCCACCCCGGAGTGTGGAGGCTCTGCCCGGAGCCTGGTGCCACTAGAGGGAGAGCTCAGCCCGAGCAGGATGGACACCACCGGCTGTACGGTGGGTGTGTGGCATTGCACACCCCTCTGCACCCTGCACAGACACCTGCCTCCCCTTGCCACAGGAAAACTGTCTCTGACTGAAAACCACCTCAGAGCAAAGCCTGGAGCTGGTAGACACCCCAAAACAGTGGCAAGGTGGGGGGAAAGCCCCCCCTGCACAGCCCAACTCTGGTCATGGCTGGGGATGGGTCGCTCTCAGCAGATTACAGGATCCCAGTATGGCTCAAGCTGTTGCGGACCCCCCAACCCCTCACCCTGCTGGTGGGGCAGGTGTCCCCCCCAAGGACCTGGGAGCACAGAGCAAGTGCCTGGGGAGCCAGTGATGCTGGCGGGTCCACAGGTTGTCCAGAACAACTGGTTTTTCTAGCTCCAAGAGACTATAAAAATGCAGTGACCTATTTAGGGAACCCCGTGGTGCTGCAAAACAGATGCTTCCCCTCCCAGCCCGGCTCCAGGCCCTTGTCCTGGCCAGCCATGTGCGCCTGCCAGGGGTACACAAAATACCACTGGCACCAGAGCTCTGTCCTGCTTCTCCATAGAAAACCCTGGGCAACACAGAGAATTTCTTTGGATGTGGGATTTGCTGGTGCCTGGGGAACTCTCTGCCAGGGAGAGCTGCTCAGGGCAGCCCAACCTGTTTCTGACAAAGTCAGATGGGATCATGTGGATAGGAACAGCTGGTCAGTTTGTTGGAAAAAACAGGGTGTTTAGCTCTGGGGATGTGGCACGAGAGTGGCCCCAGTGGGTGGCTGCTGGTGGCAGGGCTGTGTGGCTCAGGGCACCCTGTGCTGTCCCACAGCTCGGCAGTTCCAACCAGCATCAGCCCATCACCATCTGCCCAGCATGATAAAGAAGCAGGAGCTGCCACAGGCTGTCAGTGGCTGTTCACCCGCCTGTGACGGGCAGCAGGGAGGATGTACAGCCACACAGCGTGTCCCCTCACCACCGCAGCTGGAAAACCCTCCTGAAAGCTCAGGCGGGCTCTGCTGCCCTTCCAGATCACTCGACCCCATCCCTGCTCTCCTGCGGCTCCCTGCACTTGGTGCCACGTGCCTGGGACAAAGGACAGTGTGACAAAAGCAGGCGGCTGTGCTCAGTGCCGCCTTCCTCCGCCTCTCCACCACTGCATCCCTCGGGCCAGGGCCCAGCACAGCGCTCCTTGCTTGCTCTGCCGTGCCCCATGTGTGTCCTGCTCTGCTGTGCTGTGGGACCATGTCCTGGGCCAGGCTGTGGGCTGGAAATCACAGCCAGCTTTACCACTGTGAGGGAGAGGGGCTTGTGAGACCCAGACAGGTCCCAAGAGTGGCTCGTAGCCTGATGGTAGGAGAGCCAGGATCACACGACTCATCCAGCAATGGTAGGATTGCAGCAGGGGTTTGGGGAGAGTCCCCTTGGGCAGGGGACTGTCCCTGTAATCTCTCTGAGCTTCCCAATCAGAGATAGAGCACTGCCTGAAAATTGCTTTTGGAAAGAGCTTGTGGATGCCTCTCTCACAGTTCCCTGCTCCCAAAGCTCCACTCCAGCTTCCCTGGGCCCAGTTGCTCCCACACCCCATAGGAAGGGAGGTTGTCCCAGCACTCATATGGCAGAGCTTATCCTGAAACCATCTGTCCCAGGATTCTCACTGTAGGTGACCAACCGCGGTGTGACATCCCAAAGCTGGACACCAGTGGAAGGGGTGTAACAAAGACTGTGCTGCCCTCGCTGCTGGCTGTGCTGGGAGATGCTCATTGTTAACCCTGGGCTGTCTCCTGGGCAGAGCAGCCGCTGTCCTCACAGTCAGTCTGACAGCCCTCGCTGGGGACAGGCACTGCGGGAGAAGCTGCAGAATGGCTCTGCGGGCAGCTCGGCCATGGCCAGCTTTGTATTCCCCGCCCTGGGGCCAGCAGGCACCCATCACCCCGCTCCAGCCGGCAGCCTGGAGCCTTCCCTGCCTGGATCCAGCGCTGCTCCTGGTGGGATTCTTCCGAGAAGGAGAACCGCAGGAGTGCGTGTGTGCATTGTGCGATGGGGCTGCGTGAGCACCAGTGCGAGCTCACAACGTGTGAGTGCGGGCAGCGCGGGATGGACGGTGTGTCACCGTGTCACACCGGGGGTGTGCACACACCGTCCGTGCGTCTGCGGGGGCGGGCTGCGGGTCACCCCCGGTGTGCGGGGGCGGTTGAGCCGATACCGATACCGGTCCGTGCGGTGGTTCGGGGTTCAGCGGGGCTCTGGGGTGGGCAGCACCGCCTCTCCGCTTCCCTCCGCTTCCCTCCGCTGCCCCGGCGCGGCGGGCGGCGCGCGCAGAGCCGGCAGTGCCCGCCCCGGTGCGGGGCCGCCCCGCCCCGCCCCGCCCCGCCCCGCGCCGCCGCCGGGGCCCGGCACCGCCGCCGCCGCCACCGGGCCCCGCTCCGCCGCCGCCGCTGGGTGAGTACCCGCCGCCATCCCACCGGCACCGGCACCGGCACCGGCACCGGCACCGGCACCGGCACCGGTGCGGGGCGGGCCGCGCCGGCATCGCCCCCCCCCGCCCCGGCGAACCGGGCCGAGCCGGGCCGAGCCGGGCCGGGCTCCGCCGTGCCCGCGCCCCCGCGGTTGCACAAGCGCGGGGTGGGTGCGGAGCCCTCGGTGCCGCCCCCCGGTTGCGGTGTGGGTGTGCGCATGGCCCGCTCTTGTCGTGCAGCCCCCGGTGTCACTGGTGTGCGTGTTGCATGTGTGTGTGTGTGTGTGTGTGTGTCACCTTGTGCAGGGTGTGTTCCTGCCTGTCCCCGTGTCCCCCCTGCAGGATGCCCCGTGCCAGGTGCTCCGTGCCCGGCACCCGCCGCACGAGTCCCCAGGGCCAGCTCTGCTTCCAGGGAGAAGCCGCTGGCCTGGGCCTTTCCCACACCGCCAGGGAATTGCATCCAAAGCCATTAGCCCGGCTCGCCGCTAACCACATCGCTGCTGGGGCCGGTGCCACTGGCACCTTTTTAGAGTGACAGGGATGGGTGGCACTCGGCAAGCTGCTGTGCTGGGGGTGGTGGCGGCTCTCAAGGCTGTGGCCACCCCAGTGCCTTGTTAATTTTCTCAGAGAGGAATATATGGAGCATCGGGCGAGGGTTGGGACGCGCATCCCTAAATCGTGTGGTTTCCAGCCGGCCTGTGAAATGCAAATTGTCTGGTCAGCGATTGCCAGAGCTAAATTTAGGGCAATTACAGGAAAGTGTGGGCACATGGCAGTGTATTCCTACACCCCAAGGCTGGCCCTGGCACTCTGGCTCTGGGGGACCGCTGCCCACTGTCCCATCTCAGCTCCCATCTGGAGCTGGGTGTTCCCAAGCTCCTGCATCAGCCCTGGACTTTGCCCACTGACGAGCTGTGGCTCAGCCCTTCACCTTTGCCATGGGCCGGGCCACGCAGGGAGCCAGGCTGTGAATTTGGGGCCAGATAAGGGTGATGAGGGAGCTGTGCTGAGGGGGCTGCACCCACCTGACCCCTCCTGCTGGACATGGAACCATATCTCACCTGCCAAGATCTTGCCCCACTACCTCTGGGTCTACCCTGTAAGACCTCTTGAGCTGTGTCATTCCCCAGCTTTGGGGCAAGGTAGGTGCCTGCACCCCATGCACCCTCCTGGCCTGGGGTGACCTCTCGTAACCAGTCTGGGTCCCCTTTGCTGTTGGACATGGGGTTCCTGCAGCAGGAGGGCCTGAAGTCCTGCTCTGGGGAGAGCTGGTGGCACATCCTGGCTGTGACTCAGGTAGATCCGGGATTGTTTTCCTCTTGACACATTCCACCATTGTCCATAAGGCACTGCAGAGAGCTTTGGAAACCCCCTAAATTTCCTTGTTCTGTGGAAAACTTATGTCCAGTAAGGAGCCATCATGCAGGTCAGCTCCCATTTGCCCTGCGTAGGAGCTGGCCTGGCTGTTCGGAATCGCTGCCAGCAGCTCCCGCTCCCTGGCACGGCACCATCCCTTCCTGGCTGGGCATAGCCAGGGCATGAGGTACCCTGAGGAGGGCACAGCCAAGGTGCTGTGGGAGCAAA